GAGGGAGCTGCTCCTGCTGCTTTACCACAGTGTGTTGCTGCCGCTGTGGCACGTCCTGCTAGAGGCCCTGGCCCGGGCCCAGGAGCGCTGCCATGAGGCGTGCAGGTGAGAGCCGCGTCCAGCGCTGCAGCAGGAGCCCCGGAGCCTCCTGCCCTTTCCCCAGGGACAGGGCTCTCCGTCCAGTCTCTCCCTGTGCCCCACCCCAGCGGTCAAGCGTCCCTAGGCGACTCCGGGATGCGGGTCGTGGGTCTGAGCTGCAACCCTGTGACTTGACACTGCCTCCCAACCCCCACAAGTGTTCTGCTCTCCTCCCAGAGGTGAGGTGACTTGGGACTGCGTGAGGACACAGCTCAGTGCGGCTGCCCGCTGGACCTGGCTCTGCCTACAAGACATCACCGTGGCTTTCTTGGACTGGGCACTTGCCATGATATCCCAGCAATAGGCCCCGCGTCCCTGTCTGGGGCAGCCCTCGGAGACTGCTGGGGGGTTTCCGCAAAGGAGTCTTTTTTACTTGGCGCCCGAGTTCTGTCTCCTAGGCAAGTGGCCAGTGGCCTCTGTCCCACTTCTACCTTTGGTGGGGACTGAGCCCAGAGGCATCTCAGCCTCCTACCCCTGATCCCACTGAACACTTGCCTGGCCCTGTTGCATGTAGCTCCCGGCCTCTGTCCTCAGGCCAGTAGCCTCTGTAGCCCGTTCTGGTCTCCTGCTCTCCACTTCCTTCCATCTCATCCCCAAAGCCCCAAAACAGCTCCTCTCCAAAGTGGTGGGACTCCACTGAGTGACATCTGCATTCTTTTGACGAGTGATTCCTGCTCCCAGACTTTGGTCACGGTGGAACAAGGAGAGGGGCCTGCAGAAGAATATAACACCATAGTGGGCGACAGCGGCCTCGCCTCAACCCACAGCCTGGGCGTGACTGTCAGTGGACGTGAGGCCTGGCCGGAAAGGCCTTTCACCTCCAAATGCCCAACTTAAGTCCTTTGAGGCCCCTCACTGCCCCCCCTCCATCGTGGTCCTACTTCCTTACTCTCCACTCCCCTTTGTTGCTGGGGGACTCTGCCTCAAGGTTCAGCTTATCTCTGCCGCCCAGCCCTACCGTCTGCCTGGAGAGCAAAGCCCAGGTGGTTGTGTGCCATGGGCCCAGCGAACCTTCCAGCAGCCCGTCGAGACGGGATTCAGCATGTGGCCCCTGGGTATGCCTACTGGGTGGAATAAAGGACACAGGTGTGATTGCCAGCTTTCCTGTCCGCATCGTCACGTCGGGATTCCCATGGTTGTGAACGGGACAGCGAAACACTGGGCATATGCGTGTTCTCCTTTGGCTCCCTGCCTCCTGGAGGTTGTAGCCACTGGCTGCAGGGGAGCTTCTGGCAGGGAAAGCTCATGCCCATCACTCTAAACTTGGACCTGTTGAGGATTCCAGACGCTCCTTTTGCTGCCCTAATCATATTGTCTCACTTGCCACTATGATTCGTGTCCCAACACCTACCTTGATGGCTTGACTATTTTAAGCTGGAAAAAGCAGGGAGAGTTTCCTAGGGGAATTCTTGGTTTGTGTTTGGTGGTGGTCTCTTCCTTGCTAGGACCTTCATTTTATTTTATTTTATTTTATTTTATTTTATTTTATTTTTTTTTTTTTTTTGTATTTTTATTTGTTTTCAGGTAGGCTCCACGCCCATTGTGGGGCTTGAACTCACAACCCTGAGATCAGAGAGTCACATGCTCTCAGAGAGAGCCAGCCAGGCTCCTTGCCAGGACCTTAATTTATTAATTAGTTTTATAAGGCAAGGAGTGAAAGATGTAGGACTCCAAAAGACACACGAGTCAAGGGCCTATCACCAAAGCCCCTTTTTGTTTTTGACTGGGGACCGTAAGAGAGCTGCACAGACTTTCCACTCTCACCTCAAGATTCTAATGTTTGAAATGTAAGCAGTGCTAGAGGTGCGCTGTCCACTCCAACCCCCCCAGGCTGGTTCCTGCTTCCATCAAACCCTGAGATGACAGCAGGATGATGGCCAGCTACCACTTTCCCATTCAGTTGTTGCCCTGAGACTCTGCCTATCAAGTAGCCAGCGTAGAAAAATCATGGCACAAAGTGAGGTCATGAGTACAATGGCATCTCCCGTTGTGTTCTCTTCCCTTGTTAGGATGTAACTCTAACCTGTCGACGGTTAAACAGTCCATATTGGGCAGAACCCTGCTCCTAGTGGCAGCTGACCACGACCATTTTTCCCAAGGGAAAAAACCCACCTGGCAGCTAAGGTCTGGGACTGCTAGGCAGGACTGTCCAAGGGTCCCAAGACCTCACTTCCCAATCAGAAACGGGTGCAATTCTTAAGAATAGCTAATCCTTCTAACTGGCCTGAATTCAAGGCAAGTTGAAGGAAGGGCTGCTGTGAACCTGGCTTGGCAACAGCATAGGACAAGTAAAATGACAACCCTGTCCTATGATGACATTGAATCACCAACGCTGCTGGACTGTCACAATCCAGCAAACCAAAGAACGCCACTTAGGAGTGCTGCGTTGGTTTCTAGTGTGTACGAGATTTACCTTGCTGGGTTTGTTTAATTTCTGACCTAGAATCCTGGGGTACAACGTGTAATCAGGTTGGCTGGGGCCTCCACAGCTTTTCATAGGGACACTGACACCCTAATTGGCTTTATTTGATAAACCCCGTTGTTTGACCTGTTATTGGAATTGTCCAGAATTTCTCCGGTGTCAAGAGAAGTAGTCCAACACTGCACCTGCTGTCCAATAAAGCTAAACCAGACACCCAGAAGTTTCACATTTGGCAGACCTGTCAATGCACAAGTATCTAAGCTGAGCCAGTGAACTGACCTAGTGTGGACTAGACGAGCAGACCCAGGCTGACAGGTGGGCTATCACCCTATGATGATGGGTGTTACTGGAGGAACAGAAGTCACCTGACGCCTCAGAAGGTCACATTTGGACATTGTAACTTTACTTTTTACACAGCTGGAGTTCTACAGATAACGTGCCCCAAAAAACGAAGGGCAGTTTGAGTATGATTATCTTTTGTCAATCTCTTACCAACTCCTGTATGGGCCTGCGAGTTCTGGTACATGACTCATTTGAAACACTTCTTCCCAAAAGGCTTAAAGCACGTTTCTGGATGTGTACCTATAGCGCCAGCTTTACAGCAGGTCAGCTTAATGGGTGGTCTGACTTCCCCAAAGCATGGCGTCGCTAGACTCACCTGTAGCATTGCCAGTCCCTTCTCAAATGCCATCACCCCTGGGGTGGAGCGTTTCCCACGGAGACGGGCATGCCTGCCTGTTCAAACGATGATTTCAAAGACTCTCTAAGGACATAGGAAAATGCTTATAATTGAGCTCAATTTGTTGAAAATGGGCTATAATAAAAGTATCCAGAAGAGTGTTGGCAAGGATGTGGAGAAATTAGAACCCTCCTACATTGCTGGTGGGAATATAAAATGGTTCAGTCAGTGTGGAAAAAATTTGGTGGTTCCTCAAAGAGTTAAACATATAATTACCATAAACCCCAGCAATGTCACTCCTATACACCCAACATAAAAACACATATCCACACAGAAACTTGTACATGAATGTTTATAGCACTGTCATTCATGAAAGTTAAAAGGTGGGAACAGCCCAAATGTCCATCAATAGATGGATAAACAAAATGGTATAGTGATACAATGGAATATTATGCAACCACCAAAAGGGAGAAGGTGCTGACACGTAACACAACCCGGAAGAGTCTCAAAAACATTATGACAAGTGGAAGAAATCGGGCACAAAAGGTCACATATTTTATTATTTCTCTTATATGGGATCTCCAGAATAGGCAAAGCCATAGAGAAAAAGCAGGTTAGTGGTTGCCTGGGCAGGGGCGCCAGTCAGGGAGTGGGGGAGTGGTGGTGGGGAATGATTACTTAAAGAGTACAGGATGTTCTTCTAGGGTGATGAAAAAAATAAGTTTTGAAACTAGAGAGAAATGATAATTTGCATAATACTGTGAATGCACGAAGTGCTACTGAACCGTTCATACTTTAAAACGGTTCATTGTATGTTATGGGAATCTCGTCTTAAAAAAAAAAAAAAAAAAAGTTCGGTTTACCAGCATCCTTCCCCTCAAGAAAGAGAGTCAATGGGCACACTAAAGACTGAGCCAAGAAAACTGCCCAAATTAACACTCTCGGACACAGTGGTAGCATTTGGAGCAGCAGAATGAAGCTAAACTAAGAAATCGGTGGGGAGATTGTTAACCTCCTGCTTCGTGGGTGGGCGCAAGAGTGAAAGCCCTGTGTGCTCAGTGACATCAGAGACCTCGGATTTAAAGTGTAGGGCTGCAACGGGTCCTAAAACCATCACTGGACCTGGATTTGCCCGGGGCGACTGTGACTCCAGGTAGCCCAGGCCGCAGAGCTGGAAATGGTCCAGGTCTTCCCACACAGGCACTCCGCCAGACCACCAAGCAAGGCTTTGTAGGGGAGGTGGGTTTTAGGTTGGTTTCAAAGCCCCAGGAAATTCTGGTGGGCAAAGGATTGTAGGCTGCCATTCCAGGCCCTTGGAAAGAGGCGCGGAGGTGTGACGAGATAGGGGCAGGGGCGGACGGGTGGACTTGGCCTCGCCCAGGGCCCCCTCCGCGCCTGCGGCCAGGCCGGAATCGCAGGCTTAATGCGCGGCGGGACGGTGCGCTGTCCTGCACACAGCGAACAGCTCTGTGGTTTCTATGTTTCATGCTCCAGCCAGAACGAATAAATCCTGACAAAACGTTGGTTAACTGACCTAATGAATATCCTTCACATCAGGAGAGCAGTAGGGTTTTACCGGCGCCCCCAAGACACCGAAGGGAAATCTGGAGCAAATAGCGAAAGTAAGCCCTCGGCTTTGCAAACTGGACTTGCGCCTTGCAACTGCAGAGCACATGTGCGTGCCCGCCGCGCACGGGAAATGCGCCCAGCGGCCCAAGGTTGCGAGCAGGATCTCAAAGCGTCCTCAATCCTATAAAAGCCACGGGGGGTGAGGAGATGTGGTTTTTTTGTTTGTTTTGTAAAAAACGGAAATGGAAGGTAAGTGTATTGCCCATTTCCTTTGTCCAGAGTTGGGAAGCAGGTTCTTTGCCCGAACTTGTTTCCGGCTTCCTTTGTTTCTGTGCGGCTTGGAGGGACTCGGCAGGAGAGCTCCTTTTATAAAGCGGGGTGGGGAGCTTTCCCCCAAATCTAGATCTTGTCAGAATAATGTGGCGTTGGTAAGCATTAGGGAGGAATTGGCAGGCGCTGGAGACAGCGGAGCCTTCGATAGCTCAGTTGGTAGAGCGGAGGACTGTAGTGGTACGAGTTGCGGCAATCCTTAGGTCGCTGGTTCGATTCCGGCTCGAAGGACTTCGTATAATCTTTTTAGCTTCCAACTCAAGCCAATCAAGTCGTAGGGAGAAAGTTTCACTCAGAGGCCCGCTGTGGATTTGCAGGAGCACAGCAGATGTTCGGTGAAACACATGTGCAGTAAGTAATCAGTGTACGATCCAACCCTCTTCTGTGTTAAATGCGAAGATATGTTATTACCGTTGCTTACGTGTGATTATTATATGCCTGCTTTTAAAAATCTTGCCCACGATCCCCCTGTACACTACTAGATAAAGGTTTTGAATTACGGTCGGTCCTCGGGTCAGCGGCCAGCCTAGAACAGCCTGTAAGGCAAAAGGAAGAGAGGCGGCAGCAGGCGGGGGATTAGCTCAAATGGTAGAGCGCTCGCTTAGCATGCGAGAGGTAGCGGGATCGATGCCCGCATCCTCCACTGAGGCTTTTTTTGCCCCTTGTATCAGTATCAGAGGATTCCTGAAGGGCGGGAGATCCGCTGACCCAGGAAGGTATTTTGTAATACACAGAAGAGCGCGGTGCGCAATGATTAGCTTCGCACATCGTCCTTTTATTTTGCAGGTGAGTCTTCCGGTTTATTTCTTGGTCACTTTTGTCTTGCCCTCCTCCCAGCGGGCAGGCGGTTAACCGTCTTCTGAGAAGACCCCGGTAGAACCCTCTGGCCGGATCTGCCCGCCGAGCCCCCAAAAGCCACTGGCTCAGGTACCCGCTAACGTGCGAGGGAACCCCTGCGTGCTGACCAATGGCAGCGAACCTTACTGGGCGGGTAGCCAGCTGTATCAGCGGCCAATAGGCGAAAGACTTCTTGTTTCCTGGCAGAGCGGGGTCCCGGCACCGCGGCGCTCGGGTTTTGTTTGGGTCCTGGGTGGAGGACCCGGGTGCCGGGGCCCGAGGTGGCGCCTCGCTAGCGGGAGAGAGAGCGGGATCGCCGGCCCCGAGAGAGGTGAGGGGCGCTGCGTGGAGCGCGGGCCCCGCCGGCCCCGGCCCCGCCCCCTTCTCAGCCCCTTTCAGCCCGGAGCCCCTCTGGAATGCCATCCCGCCCCACGGCCCGGCCCGGCCGACCCCTCCCCCCCCGCCCCACTCCCACGCCCGCACCTCTGACCCCCCCAGTCCCTGCCCCGAGTGTGAGACCCTGTCGTCCATTCATGCCTCCGAACCCCGCCCTGCCCAGGGCGAGCTCGGTCGGTGTGAGGTGAGGGTCTGTCAGAGTCGAGGGTCGAGAATCACCCCCTACCCCCACGTGGGTCTCTACCAGCCACGTTTTTAGAGGTGCTCAGCATACCCGTCACTTACCCACAACTATTGCCAGCGTAGCTTTTTCAGGGACTCCAGTGCTTTGCAGGGCGGGAGGGGGCTGGAGACAGACCCATGCCCTAACTGGCATTGAGCTACAGTTTCCAGGTGAGCAGGTGGCTTCTGCCTTGTTTCTTTTGACTTGGCAAAGGCCACCGTTTTCTAGGCATAGGGTAGTGACAAAAAAGGAAGAACTAGCCCTTCCAAGGGTTCAGGGGAGCCACAGACGAATGCCTGGTCAGGACTTGTGAGGACAGAGGAGTGGAGAGAAGCAGCTGCCCGTTTAAACTTAGAATCTTGGCTCTCTCCGCTGCTCTGCTCTGCTGGAGATCGGGGAGCCAGTCTAGGAACAAGAGATCCAGAACGGCCCGTTTTTCAAGACGGCCACGTGCTGTGGTGGGTGTATCTGGGTAGGTTTGAGAAATCTGACCTCTCCAATGTTATTCTCTAGTCTTTTGCAAAAAAAGCTTGGACTCTAGCGTTTCTCAACATTAGTTAAGCCATGGAGTACTTCATTTTGGGTAAGCCAAGATGTAGTAAAATGGGGTCCTTTTAGGTCAGTTCTAGCCCTTTGTGTGGCGTTAGACAACTGCTTTCTCTTAGCCTTTGCTAGAAGGCCACTTCTGCCTTTTCTGAGGTGGAAAGAGCCTCTTGTTTCTTAGGGCATTTCCTAAGAAGAGCTTTCATTGATCAGGAGATACCCAAAAACCTTGTTTTCATTTTTCTTCCTTCTTCCTACGCCACCCCCCACTCTCCCCCAGCTCTCAGGGCCAGAGTGGGCAGGAGGATGCTTTCCCAGCCTCACCATGGAGCTGCGCTGTGGGGGATTGCTGTTCAGTTCTCGCTTTGATTCAGGGAACCTAGCCCACGTGGAGAAGGTGGAATCTGTGTCTAGTGACGGGGAAGGAGCAGCAGGTGGGGCATCAGCCCCCACCAGTAGCATCGCCTCTTCTCCTGACTACGAGTTCAACGTGTGGACCCGACCAGACTGTGCTGAAACGGAGTTTGAGAATGGGAACAGGTAAGGGGGAAAGAGGGGAGCGTGGAAGAAGGACAAGAGAGGAGGTGGCCAAGGCCCCAAATCCAGGCTCATTTCGCTGTCTTACTGTTCATACCGTCAGTACCCTTCCTCTCCCTCCCCTCCTCCCTCCTCCCTCCCCTCCTCTGTACCGAACGGGCCTTTCCCAATCTTGCTCGCTCCAGCTGTTTCACGTAGCCTGTCTCCAGCCCTCAGTATATAATGACCTATTCCTCCTCCTCTGGCCCTCAGGTCATGGTTCTACTTCAGTGTCCGGGGAGGAACTCCAGGGAAACTCATCAAGATCAACATTATGAACATGAATAAGCAAAGCAAGCTATACTCCCAGGGCATGGCCCCCTTTGTGCGCACACTCCCCACCCGGCCACGCTGGGAACGCATTCGAGATCGGCCCACCTTTGAGGTAAGTTCTCCATGAGGGAGAAAGACAGACTTGGGTGCTAAAAGCAGAAGAGGGAAAGAAGAGAGGAGTTACCCTCGATACAGAGTACCAGGCAGGTGGGACGCCAGGTTTTGGTATCAGCTTTCCCTCTAGTGCTAGCTGGAGTCCAAGATAAGCCCCTGCTTCAGGAAGCCCAGAAGGAGCCAACTGTCATATGGAAAGTCCCAGAGGGAGGGAAGTCGGGCATTGTGTTGAGGGTGTAAGGTCCGTTCTTGGCGATCCCAATAGGATCTTAGTTCTCACACCAACAGCCCCTCCCTCTTCCTCCTCTGCTCCTCAGATGACAGAGACGCAGTTTGTGTTATCCTTTGTCCACCGTTTCGTGGAGGGCCGTGGGGCCACCACCTTCTTCGCCTTCTGCTACCCCTTCTCCTACAGTGACTGCCAGGACTTGCTAAACCAGCTAGACCAGCGCTTTCTGGAGAACCACCCTACCCATAGCAGGTGCCAACCCCATCCTTACTCCTGCCACCCAGTCCTCGACCAGACACCACCTCTGCTACTTCTGGAACTTGCCCCAGGAGCCCCGAACCAAAATGTCACCCGCTCTTTTTCTGTGCAGAGTGTGGGACTTTGGGTGCCTTTGACCAATATGTTTCTGTGTGACCATGACCTTAGCCTACCGCTACCTGCATTCTACTCACCCATCTGCCCAGTTCAAGCCTCTTAATATCCCAGCTCCCATCAGTTGCCCAGAACTTAGCCCCGCCATTGCCCAACACACCTTTTTTTCTGTCCCGGCAGAGGGTGAGTCTGTGTACGAAGTCATCACATAGTAGAGAGCCATAAACTGGGGAGAAAACAATAAGTTCATCCCGTCTTGTATTCTGCATTCTACTAATTCAGACGACCCAAATCCTCAGCCTCTTTTAACACTCTGAGGGACTCTAAGGCCCCAAAGGTTAGCGTGAAAGACCAGATCCTACAAATCCTAGGCCGGGGATGAGGCTCACCTCTTGCTAGGATTTTAGGGACTTCTCGTGGCTTAATCGTTTTTATCCCCATAGCCCCCTGGACACCATTTATTACCACCGTGAGATCCTTTGCTATTCTTTGGATGGACTTCGTGTAGATCTGTTAACGATCACTTCCTGCCATGGGCTTCGAGAAGATCGAGAGCCCCGTCTAGAGCAGCTATTTCCTGATACCGGCACCCCCCGACCCTTCCGTTTCACAGGCAAGAGGGTGAGTGGGAACAGCATAAAGGTAGCACCATGGCCTTTCCGTAGCTCCAAGCCCTGTGGATAGCTTAAGGCCATGTTACCTCTGGGAGTCGTGGCCGCATTCGGAGGCAAGCAGGGCTGCTCCCAGCTCCACTTGCAGACTCAGCCAGCTGCAAATCCAGTGGCTCTTCCTGCCCGCCCCCCATTTACTGTTAGAGAGGACATACCAGGTAACTGGCCTAATGACCGCTCTCCTCTCCACCTCAGATATTCTTCTTAAGCAGTAGGGTACACCCTGGGGAGACTCCATCTAGCTTTGTCTTCAATGGCTTTCTGGACTTCATCCTTCGACCTGATGACCCCCGGGCCCAAACCCTGCGTCGCCTCTTTGTCTTTAAGCTGATTCCCATGTTGAACCCCGACGGTGTGGTCCGGGGCCACTACCGGTAAGCAGCCTCCCCAGCCTGTCAGGATTGTTCCCGGTCCCCTTCGTGTCCTCCACCTCCGTGAAATACTGTCAGCCTCTCCTTTAACTTCTCCTGCATTCCCAGTCCTCTTGTACCCGAACAAGGGCAAGCCCATCTCGTTGTCCAGGGACCAGAGAAGGAATGTGGCACATCTAGCGGCGCTCTCTGGAAGGAGCAGAGTTAGAATAACCGCAGGTCCATCTGGGTAGAGGGAGCCGTGCTTAGTCTCTGTGGTCGGGGGGACAGCCCACCAAGGAGAGGGCCTGTTCTCAATCCTTTCCTTCCTAATGCAACCTGGGCCTCTCATTTTGCAAGTCAGTCTCCCCCAGGCCCCCTTTCATCTACTCTCATGTCTCCTTCACCGGCTCAGCGCTCTAGACTCTGCTTCAGTCTCTGTTTTCCTATAGCACAGACTCGCGTGGAGTGAACCTGAACCGTCAGTACCTGAAGCCCGATGCAGTCCTGCACCCTGCCATCTACGGGGCCAAAGCTGTGCTTCTCTACCACCACGTGCACTCCAGACTGAACTCCCAGGGTCCCTCTGAGCACCAGCACAGTCCCCATCTCCCTCCTGATGCTCCCCTTTCTGACCTTGAGAAAACCAACAATATCCAAAATGAAGCTCACCTTGGGCACGCGTCTGACAGGGATGACCCTGAAGGCTGGACACAGACCGAGTCGGCAGAACAGAAGCCCAGCGGTGTGTGGATTATGCCACAACGGTCCGCTGAGGTTGAGCAGCCGGCCCCCGACACCATCCCCCCTAAAGAGAGTGGCGTCGCTTACTATGTGGACCTGCACGGACATGCTTCCAAAAGGGGCTGCTTCATGTATGGAAACAGCTTTAGTGATGAGAGCACCCAGGTAGGAATCCAGAGTGCCACGTGAGTGTGGGAAGTGTTGCAGGTCAGGAGATACAGGTTAGGCCAAGGACAAAGGGAAGGTGGTCTTGTGACAGGAAGGCCTGTGGCTGCAAGAGGTATTCTACCTCCAAACAAGCTTCAAAGGGCCAAAGGGGGATGGCACTGGGCCTTTGTGTCTCAGTCTTTACATCATGACCTTTGAACGAAGACCAAGCTGTCAGCATCGTGGTGTTTATTCTACAGTTTGGGAAATCAGGGGAAAAGGAAAAGTTTGCATTGTGGGAGAGACGAAGCTAAGAGCTTAAAAAGAGATAGAACTGTACCTTTCCAACACCTGGAAATAAGGTCAAGCACACAGTGACATTTTCAAAAAACATGGTATCTGCCATGTATTTAGTCACATGGCCCCCTGCATGCCATCTCTTCCTTGCCCATTCCTTCTTTCTGTCTGTCTCTCCTGAATTGCCTTTTTCCTCCCTCACACAGGTGGAAAACATGCTGTATCCAAAGCTCATCTCCTTGAACTCAGCACACTTCGACTTCCAGGGTTGCAATTTCTCAGAGAAGAACATGTATGCCCGAGACCGCAGAGATGGCCAGTCTAAGGAGGGAAGCGGCCGGGTTGCAATCTACAAAGCCTCAGGGATAATCCACAGGTTGGGGGGAAACTGGGATATAGCTGATGAAGTAACTTCCTTAAAGAAAACAATACCCAGTCTAAGTTGTTTGAGGGGCAAGGGACGGCCCAAATCTTCTCAAAAGACAGGCTCACCATTAGCATTACTGTCTTTGGCCTGAGAGTCTGACTTTTCGGGACTTCTCGGGTACATGATATAGTGCCGAGGTCAATTGCTAGTTCCTAAGGATTAGCACTTTGTTTGTATCCACTGTTTTCCAAGTGATTATTTCTTAGACCGCCTAGGCTGTCCCCCATGGTTCTGTCCTGATTTTTCCAGGCAGGACACTAATAAAGGTCTCTGTGTCTTAGCTACACACTTGAATGCAACTACAACACCGGACGCTCAGTTAACAGCATCCCTGCCGCCTGCCATGACAACGGGCGGGCCAGCCCCCCTCCCCCGCCGGCTTTCCCCTCCAGATACACTGTGGAACTGTTTGAACAGGTATGAATACAGGGGATACCTGGGGAAGAGGGGAACCCCAAAGTCTGGAATGGTCTTCACTCCTGCTGCCTAAGGCCCTCTGAAGAGAGGCTTACCACCGTCACCATCTCACCGCTGTGGTTATTTTCTGCAGTTAGCATAGGGGCAGGCCCCTGACTCTGATGGGATTGGGACGATGAGTAGGCACTATTTCTGACCTCATACCACAGAGAATCCCCAGCACATCTGAGTCAGATTCTTTGCGTCTTAAGCTGGTCTTCTTCCTTCTATTGGGTTTGTTCACTCCTACCTAGGCTTAAAAGCACCACCTCTGCAGTGGTCTTTGAGGACCCCAGGGTCCTAGAGCACGCGAGAGAAGGAGAAAGAGCTGCAGGTTATAGAAGAGATTGAAACGCCTTCTCCTGCTGGGAGAATGCCTTCCTGGTGCCAGCCAGAAAGCCCACTTGCTCTTGCCCATAAAGGATGAGGGTCCCAAAATGAGCAACGGTTTAGGGAACGGCTTTAAATCTGCCGAGATAAATAGCCCTGGCACAAAATATAGCCTGCCCGCTGAGGAAATTTGGGGCCGGGCCTCCCCTTCCACTGTGCTGTGCAACCCCCTCCCCAACATAGCAGCCTGGGTTGGAAGTCCCAGATGCTGAGCCAAACTGGACTACCCCACAGGTGGGACGAGCTATGGCCGTTGCAGCTCTGGACATGGCAGAATGCAATCCATGGCCCCGAATTGTACTGTCAGAGCACAGCAGCCTCACGAACCTCCGCGCCTGGATGCTAAAACACGTGCGCAGCAGCCGCGGCCTGAGCAGCACTGTGAACGTGGGTGTCAACAAGAAGAGAGGCTCTCGAACTCCACCCAAAAGTAACAAGTAAGACCCACAGGGTGGAAGGAGGAAAGGGTATGAAAGTGGAACAGGGCTTTAGAGCAAGGAGTTCCAAGGGGTTTGTGTTCCTCCCCTATCCAAAAGGACCACATGGTGAGTATTTTCAGAGCAAGTTAAAATTGGTAAGATTAGTACATTTTTTTGAAAATGGGATCCTCTTCCCTCTTCCCTGGAGCTACAGACTTCCTAGGCATCTGGAAACCAGGCCAGGGGATTCCCTGCTCCAGAGCCCGGCACAAAATTAAATTTAATTGTGGTGGGGGTGAGGGCAGGTCTCGGTTTCCAGGGGTTGGGAATGACCAAGAGGTCCAAGGGAATAAGGGGGGAATTCACTAAGTTAAGCTGCTCCGAGACAGCCCCGCAGCCCTTAGTATGTTTTCTGCAGGAGCATGTCTTTGCGAACAAGGGCTCCCAGGCATCCTGAGATCAGCTGGTATGGCCCAGGTTAGATACCCCATCTGTGGACACAGATCCCTCCCTTTTCCCTTGCAGTGAGCGCCTTTGCCTTTTTCGCCCAAGGTGAAGCTTTCCTGAGCATCAGACCTCAGGGAAAGCCTTGGGACACAACCTCCCCGGCCCAGGGCTAACTGGCATCTGCTTGCTTCTTTGCAGCGGCTTGCCTGTTTCCTGCTCTGAAAATCCCTTGAGCCGTGCACGCAGTTTTAGCACCGGCACAAGTGCCGGTGGCAGCAGCAGCAGCCAGCAAAACTCTCCACAGATGAAGAACTCCCCCAGCTTTCCTTTTCATGGCAGTCGGCCCACAGGGCTGCCAGGCCTGGGCTCTAGCACTCAAAAGGTCAGCCACCGGGTGCTGGGCCCCGTCAGAGGTAAGCCAGTCTGGGAGCCCCTGCAACAGGTGTTCAGTTGTTTGGGGAATTGCTGGGGGAAATGAGAGCTTGAAGATACACACTCTTGGCTGGGACCAAGGGGTGAATCAATAAAAGTAGTTTATAGCAGAATCTGCAGCCTCTCCTGCGACCTTGGTGTTCCCTGCGCCATGAGCCCCAGAGCAGTACTGTGTGTGGCACAGGCGGGAGTCCTGGGTACCTGGGCTTCAGCACGTGCTGGGAAGCAGCGGGATTTCCAAGAACAAAACACTAGCTGCAACAGGGCCACACTGAAATGTGGAGCCTCCATGTCAGGAATGGTGTCAGACTGTCTTGTCAGGAGCAGTGTAAGGAAATGTCCTCACAACGCAAATTGTAGCACCGTAGAGATGGAGAATCCTATCCAAGGTCTCTATGGGATGAAACTGTTCCTGGCTTCAGAGCCTGTTCAGAAAGCGGTGTCAGAAGGATTCTAAGTCTTCCAGAGAAAAACGGAACAAGTACAGACAGCTTCTGTTGGAGGCTTACAACACAACAGTCTGGCCCCTCCCAGCAGTCACCACAGCTGCTCAACTGTGCATCAATACCCCTGGGGTTGGCTTGATGAGACCCTGCCTGATGAGAGATTCTGAGTTCAGAGGTATACCAGAAACAGATGGGCTTTTAGGGACAAAGAAGAGGAAGAGACCATGGAGCCATTCCTTGGGGGTGACTCAGACTTGGGTGGGGGGAGATTGTTGTAGTGCCACTTCCAGAAATACACGAAACCTCAAAGCGGTATTGTACGTGGCCTCTGGGCTGGAGACATCCTGCCAGAGTTTGGAGGCTTGTAAGCTGGAACTAAGAGGCTGGGGGTCTTCAGGCCGCACTCCTCATTAGCACTCCCTGGTAGGGACCCAGAGGCATGCCCTGGGTCAGTGGCTGTGGGAACCTGACTGCACCCGCTGGAGCAGCCACAGGGGAGGGAGCATTGGTCCTTAGCAGCTTTGACCAGTGAGACCGTTTATCCCTCATAAGCAACACAGTTACCGCTGCTTCTATTCCGAGCCCCATTCTTTGAGATTCTCCCTTCATTTGGAGAGGATGCTTTTGTACAGCGTTGTTTGAAGGAGAGTATTAAAATAATAATGCCACGTATTTAAATAGCATTAAACAGCGAACAAAACAGTATCACATATATATATTTCATTTAGTCCTCACAAGGACCCTGTGGGGTGGATGGTATTTCCATTTCTCTGATGAGAAAACTGAGGCTGTTTAAGGGCGACTTGTCCAAGATTTCATAGCTTAATATTAAGTAGCAAAGTTATTCACTAATCATTATTCAGACTTCCTCTAATTTCTTTTCCTTTTTTCTTTCTGTTTTTTTCCTTTTTGTCAGCCTCTCATACCTCTTCACTCATAGCTCCTGGGAAGGAATGTCAGCGTCCTAAATTCCCCTTCCCTGACTACAAAAGAGAAATAGGAAAGAGTCTTCTCTAGGCCCAGGTCCTCACTGGAGGATTCTAAGCAGTTTTTCGTTCGTATTTTATTATCGTCCCCACCCCACCCCATGCAGAGTGCTGTATGAAGCTCCGTCAGTGAGAGACATGTATTCTGTGTCTTTGTTACTTCCCCAAATAACGAAGAGAAAAGGTGCATATTCAGTACTAAATACTTCCTGGTTGGCTGACTTTAAATTTAATAGGGGACACAGGACAGTGAACAACATAAAAGCACACACTCGTAAACACAGGGCACTTGGGGAGCCACCGTCATAGAACACTCAAGAGTAAGTAGCCAAAGAATGTTCAGTTGAGCGAGGATTTTGAAGAATGGATGGTAGCATATGGCTTGACAAAAACATTCCAGAGATGAGAGTGGTAGCCAGGGCCAGTGCTGCTGCGCAGAGAGGACAAGAAGCAGACAGACCTAGCTGGTGCAAAGGGCCAAGCCCTTCAGCACAGAAATTAGGTGGAGAGAGGTTGGAGGAAGAAGTTGACATGTCTGGAAGACAAAGATGATCAGTTAACTGAGACATAGGACAACGATTGTGTGCTTCAGAGAATGGTGGGAACGAGAGATTTATGTCAGAGTGGCCTGTGAACTGTATGTATTGGGTAGGTGGGGGGAGGGGAATCCTCACAGTAATTGATAATGAGATAACTAATGGCTATACCAGGGTCTGGAAAGGAGAAATATATGCATCAGAAACAGGTAGCAGGATTCAGTGATGGTGGAAGAGAGGCAAACTAAGAGTTTCAAGGTTACAAGCCAAAGGAGAGAGTCGTGGTGATGTTAAGACATTGTTTGGAAGAAAAAGTGTTGAGTTTATCTATTTCAGACATACTTGGATGTCATGGGCTATCTATACGGAGATGTCCTGCAGGCAGAAAAAAGAGCCAGCCTGTAGAAAAGGTGACATCAAGGTTGGATCTAGGCATCAGCCATACGCAGGTGCAGGTAAAACAAGTGAGAAGTGATGTCCCCCCAGGTAAATGAGCTAAGAAGCAGAAAAAAGGAGCTGGCGCCAGGAAGAGACACCCTGGGGACTTGAGTAAAACTTGTGAGACCTAACAAACTATGTGTCTAAAGTCAAAGGGTTGAGAAGAGGGTTACTAATTCTATCAAACAGGAATACTGGAAGGAGGTGAAAGGTCAGAGCGCTGGAATCTTGACTCCAGGTACTACAGTTTTTGCCGCTTCATCTCCTAGAGTCTCCAATAGGACTCTAGGATTGGAGACTAGTCCCGGCTTAGGATAGGGACCTGCGGCTTTATTTGTCCGGTTGATCTGTCCTATAGCTTTGTGCTGTTTCCTGGTTCTGCACATCCGGTTCTATGGCCCCTGCCACATCTAGTCATACTTTGTCTTCTGACATAGGAAGAACACAGCTCCTGTATCTCTGAGACCTAACTATAAAGCGGCTATACTTTCCAAACCCAAAACTGAGATTGTGATCTGACAAAAGATTTTTTTCTGACTTGTAAATTTAAAAGAAAGTTCCCACTGATGTATAAAAATCGTATCACACTTAACTGTATACTTAATTCATGACTATCCTTTATTGGCTAGAACAGAGCATAAGACAGGCTATCCAGAAAATTTCAGAAAAGAGCTAGGCAGCCCAGCCAGAAGCTTAAAGCAGAGGTTAGGGAACTAGCCTGGCAGGTTCTATTCTCAAGACTGGAGGATGAACATTTTAGGAGGCCAACGAGCAAGGCAACTCAGGGTGAACAGGAATGTTCCTGAGACAGGAGACTGCAAGAGCCTCCAAGGAAGCTTGACCCCACTCCCACCCCCTGACCGCAGTGCCAGGAGCTTCTTTACCTAGTTGCCCCAGCTGCAAAACACCTCCTGAGCAGCACCTGCCCAGTTATGCAGCCGAGTTCCAGTTCGGCAGGCACAGAACGGCACACAGCGTTAGCAGCAGCTGTTGCTGCAGAGGAAAGCAAGCTCACGGGAAGAGCTTATCCAGTGACCGAGTCAGGGAAGTAGGAAGTTGAAAGCCTGCAAGATACTGGTGCAAAACAGAGCTTGAAGGCAAGCCGGCTGGGGTGAGGGTGGATAAATCAACCAGCTCCACCTGTCTGTTATGTAGGGCATAGGACTAAGGTGAAGCTGGTGGGGCGCCCAGGACTCGGGGTCGGGAGTGCACCCTAGGTGTCTCATCCTAGTCCTGGCCCTGGATTCAGGCAAGTCTCACCCAGTAACTGAAACATATTCCCTGGCCCTATGCCTATCTGGTGGGACCCTGGGGTAAAAGACAAGGGGGCAGTGTAAAAACGGAGGCTGTCAGCTGTCATCCCACCACAGCCACCGTCCTCCCTCCCAGCTCTGGCACTTGCATCCGTAGTTACTAGAACTCTTTCCTGGCCTCTGCCATGCCATGGCTCAGCCGACGGGCTGCTTCTGGTAGAGCAGCTGAAGTCCGATGGTGAGTGGAGGTTCCTTTGAAAAGTGAGTCAGAGGACAGAGGAAGAATGCCTCCGGCACCATCACTAACTACTTTTACTTTTTCCACTGCAAACAAGTTTTGTGGTTAAGAGTAGATTAAAGCTTGAGGGCAGGAAATGTCTCCTAACACATTTACTGATTCCCTTGGTGCCTTGCATTTATTTATGATCAGTGAATACTTGTTGAATGGAAAAGATAAGAAATTGGGAGCTGAATAAATGCTTGTCTGACCTTTTCACCCCTTAGAGGGCATAAATCAGGTCTGTGATTATCCCAGGGATTCAGTACGATCTAGGGTGCTCCGTGTAGGGACAGTTCAAAGATGCCAAGTCAGTAACTGTTCCTTTAAATTTTGAGACCTTTAGAATAAACCACTCTAACTCCTACACTGGGGAGGTCAGTCCGGCTCTACCTCAGACCTTTGCCCCAGGATTATCCTACTCCCAAAATGGAATCTACAGTTGATAACCATAAAATACAATCTCACAACCTCTGGAAGCACAGCTGACTCACATATCACTCTGCACTCAGCCTCAAGCCACTGTTTCTATAGCTTAGAAGCAAGAAATAACAGCTGGGGTTCCTCCCTTAAATTTTTGTCTCAGTGGGAACGGAGTAGGCCTGGATTATACCAGGGGCCAAAAGTCAAAACATGAGAAATTGGGCTGTGTGCTCACATTGCCAAATTTACAGGGAGGCCTGGCCAGGCTTTAAGACAGTCTTTTAAGGGACACCTGGGTGGCTCAGTCAGTTGAGCATCTGACTTGATTTCAGCTCAGGTCACAATCCCAGGGTTGTGGGATCGAGCCCTACATTGGGCTCTGCACTAAATGTGGAGCCTGCTTGGGATTCTCTCTCTCTCTCTCTCTCTCTCTCTCTCTCTCTCTCTCTCTCTCTGTCTGCCCCACCCTCCCCCAGTGCACACTCATGCTCTCTTAAAAAAAAAAAAAATCATTTAAGTGAGGGTTAAAATGCTATTTTTAAATGCCTTATCCTTTCCATATTAGGCCTCTCCTAAACCAGACTGGTCTCCTGTCCTTAAAACTCTCATTAGGGGCAGGATCCTTGAGTTGTATCTGTAGTATCTTTCCCATAATATGTACATTCACACTGACATTTTTTACATCATATGCCTGTTCTGCTTCATACCTTCCTGAGTGTTGCTCAGTTTCTTGCTACAACCTAGAAATGTCCTAAAGGCTTTCATTCACTTTCTTACTTGCTCTTTCTTACCTTTCCTGGGGTGGGTAAGGCTTCATCCTTAACATGATTTCAACATGCCTCTGTGTAGAGATACCCAGATCATCAAGAAACCCACTATTTCCATCCTTGATCAAGTTCATTTCTGCCTGCTATGCACTGTCATCTGGATATCATCCTGATATCAGTGTTTTACTGAAGAATCACTCAAGGCTAGGTTCTACAGTATTTCTGAGTCATTGGTGGTAGGTAATACTTCAGGTTGACTGTGGCCATGAGTCTCTGACTTCTGTCCTTTCACTGTGTATCACCTCTTTAGTACCCTAAGGTCTGTTTGTTGTTGTTGCCTGTTTACTATTGACTTACAATTGACAGGTCTGGTTAGTTTTGACTCTTGGCTCTAATTGGTACTCTAATTGGTACCCAGCCCTTCAGCAAACTCCTCAAAGCTAGAGTAGCTTCTGTCCTGAAATCTCTCCCTTTCTTCTATTCCTTATTCATGTGTCAATTTTTTAAAAATTTGGTTTGGGATTTCCAGAAGTAGTCTTGTCACTGCTGACTACTGCTCATTATAGCTGGCCAAGATTAAGTTATTGTCACCTACTTCCTGAATTAGAGGTATTTTGCATCCAACACACATTACTTTGTTAGAGGCCAAGTGGCATCCTGGGACCTCCACTGAATTCAGCTCCACAAAGCTTAATAGCTCATTCAGTCTGAGAGCATTTGGCACCTACCATCCCTCTGTGATGAGACAGACCTGCCAAACCCGAGAGCCTCCCTACACCATCCAGTCACCGTCTGCTCTCAGAACTTGTACCGGTGAGGCTCTAGCCAGAGTGGACCAGAAAGAGCTGCCCCACGGGGAATAAGCATATGTCCTTAGACTCAGATTATTGAGCAGCCCATGGTCTATGGTGGGTGTCTGCTATTCAGGAAAACAAAACCTTTACTAGCGTCTCTGGTTTTCTAGGCAGAGTTTTGTAGGCACCAGGATATACAGACTGGTATAGACTGGAGAAAAGTCCTTACCCTCAAGAGATTCCAGTTTCAAGCAGAATACTAGTTAACAACTACTGAGTACTATGTACCAGGCATGATTATAAGTACTTGACATGTGCTAGCTTCTTGAGACAAAAACCATAAATCATTACTAGCCAAGTGAACAAAGGACAATAAAGCAAGGGAGAACAGTCGATTCTACCTGTGATGGTCAGGGAGGCTTCACAGAGGTGACATTTGAGATGGGACATGTTAAGTTGTTCAAGGTTTCACTAGAAGAGGAAACGGACATTGCAGAGGAACCACACAGCTAGCAGCTACAGGGGCTGTAGCAGAGAGTTTGAAGGATCAAGTCAGCATCCTACCAAGGATGGGCAGACTGGAATCACAGTGGATGGAGCTCTGAATGCCACGGTAAAGGGTTTAGACTTTATCCTTTATTTTTTTATGTTTATTTATTTTTGAGAGAGAGAGATGCAGACAGAGCATGAGTGAGGGAGGGACAGAGAGGGAGACACAATCTGAAGCACGCTCCAGGGTCTGAGCTATCAGCACAGAGCCTGATGTGGGGCTCAAACCCACAAACTGCAAGACCATGACCTGAGCCGAAGTCGGATGTTTAACTGACTGAGCCACCCGGGTGCCCCTAGGCTTTATCCTTTAAAAGACCTTCAGTTATCTCCTCCTTGCCTGAACCAGATGACTTTTGATCAGGTCTAGGTTTTGGAATAATTTCTGGCACCGGTGTGAAAGATGGGACTGTAAAAGGGAACAGATTCAAGCTAGGGTGACAAGTGGGGAATTTTTTTCAGAAGCCTGAATGAGAGATAAAGACCTATAGCTGGACACAGGCCATGGCAAGGGAGAATGAAGGAGGAATCCAAGCAAAGGCAGAGGCAGAATTGTCTAGATTTGGTTAAACACAAATCTAAATATGAGGGAGGAGTCAGAAGATGAAACAGGTTTCTAGGACATTTTTCACCAAGGTAAGGAGAAGAAAAGGAAGGATGGAAGAAAATTAGTTTTGCTGGGGTCATGAGAGACCGCCAGGTAGAAATGCCAGTGGACCACTGAACTGTAGTTCAGGAAAGAGGGCTCCAGAGCAGCTTGGGAGTTTGGAGTATGCACAGCAGGAGGGGACCAAGGGTACAATGGGGGAGGGGCACTGGCATTTGGGGGCAGTAAGAGTAGTTGAAGAGGAGTGGTTAGAGGCAGGAGAAACCTAGGGAAGCTACTTCAGAAGCCAAGCTCAGTAACTTCTCGGCCAGAAGAATGAACTGGCGAGCGAGCAGGGTGGTTAGCCACAGAGAGGCGGATGAGGGCTTGCTGTGACCCGGGTAACCGGAGTAAGTATCAGAGGTCTTTCTACCCACCTTAAATTTACTTCCAGAGAGGAGTGCTGGTGTGATGACAAGTGCGAGAACCAGCAGGGCAGTGGAGTGACAGGGCCTCACTTACTTGCCCTTTTATCTCCTTGTGTCCCTTCCACTCAGAGCCCCGAAGCCAGGACAGGAGACGGCGGCAGCAGCCACTGACCCATCGCCCTACTTCAAGCGGCCTGGCCCCATCCCCAAATCCTGCTAGTTCTAGCCCAGCAGCCTCACACAACATGGGTTCCTGCCTACTCCCCAGCTCACTCAGCATATCAGGTCTGTACCTACTGCCACCGAAATCTGGGTTGGCCAGCCTCCTTCCTTCCCTACTACCCAGGGTGTAGACCAGACTCCCTGCTAGGCTTAAACCAATCCCTTCAGCTCCTTTCTTGACTTGATGCAGAAAGTTAATGCAGGCCTCTCCACACCGGGGGCATCCGTTATCCTCCTGGATTATCCTAAACCCGTAAAGCACCCATGCTCTTGTACAGGAAGCTGGAAGTTAATGGATGTCTTTGTATAATAAAATAGCTATTGTTTCTTGAGCATCTATGTGGCAGGCACTGCTCTAAGCACGTTGTCTCACTTAATCCTCAAAGGTGAACAACCTGAGTACCTGCTACTTACTCAAGCTTCCTGGCTCCAGGAACTGGGCAACATTAGACAAAACCGAAGAACAAAAAAAGGCAGAGGCCTTTCACCTGTCATCACAGCAAATGCTGTGTGACCGCATCATCCACATAAAACCCAGGCCACCTGCTGTCCTTTTAAGTTATACACCCAGCTGTGTAAAGGACTGGACGGGAATGATTCCTAAGACTCCAGTCCAACATCCTCTAACTCCCTCAGAGCCCACTACTCCCAACCTGTTAACGGTCTTCAGTGGGTAGCCCTTGTCAGTCTATCATCTTGGGTACTGACTTATCCTTGAGCGCTTACTCATTTGGATGCGACAGGCCCTGAAGTCTATAAATTCAGAGTAGTTCAGCTTGATGGGCTGTGGCTCAAGTTGCAAGTTGCTACTCCACTCCTTGGACCCGACTAGAGCATGCCGTGCTTCTCAACCAGGGGCCATTTTACTCGCTAGGGAACATGTGGCAAGGTCTGGAGACATTTTTGGTTGTTACAATGGGGAGGGGACAGAGGAAGAAGAAATGCCATCTAGTAGGTAGAGACCAGAAAGGCTATTAAACATTCTGCAATGCACAAGACAGGTCCCCACAACAAAGAATCATCCAGCCCAAAATGTCAATATTGCCAGTTTTGAGAAACCCTGTTCTAAAGGAAGTTCCCTCTTCTTCTCCACGGCTCCCTACCCTGATAGCAGTTTTCTTTGTTTCCTAGGGAGCAGCTGCTCATTCCTGTCCTCAGGCGACAAGCCAGAGGCTGTCATGGTGATTGGGAAAGGGCTGCTAGGGACTGGACCTCGGATCCCCTGTATCAGGACACGACTGCAGGTAACATTTTTGTGTCTTCCCCAAACCCCAGTGTAACAACGCTCACAGAGCCCAGCAAGGCACTGTTCGTCTGGGTAGCGGGAGGGAAAATGCTCAGCACTGCTTTACAACCTCCCCCGGCCATATCAGAGAGCTGTCTGGTGCCCGTGCCTGTCTGTCCAGTACCCCCATCCCTCAGCCAGGTCTCTTGCTTGCTTCCAACCCGCGTCCCTGCCAGATACACCCCAACCTCAGCCTGCTAGCTTTGGCACTGCCCGCCCCTGCCCTTAGCTTCTCCTCTCTTTCTGCCCAGACCTGCCCGAGGAGAGTTCCCGCCAGGAGGGGTCCCGGATTCCCCAGGTAACACATCTGGTTGCTGCTCCTAAGAACAGCTGTGCCACCAACTCCCAATTCAGTCCAGATTTCTCATGTTAAATTGGCTAAAGCGGAGTACAGACAGAGACCGGATGCGTGAAGCCTAAGCTGCTCTGGCAGGGACTGAGGCACAGAAGGCTCTGAGAGACCCACCAATTCTCCAACCTCTTTCCAAACACTGCTTCCCTATTCAGCCAGATGTCAGCCATAATACAGCCATGGAGGTTAAATGCTAGATCCTTTTGCCTCCCCTAGTTAAGTATGACTTAGAGTGTATAGTCATAAACTGAACCTAAGAATTCTCTAGCTATTATCCTGCCTTACCCTCTCAGCTAGGGACAGTGCCCAGAAATTCAAGGTCCCAGTACCGGTGTTGACCCCTGTCCTACACTCTTATGCACGGAAACTCTAGAAGCAAACCCAGAAGCAAAAAAGTTAATGGAAGAATCCAGCCTCTCAGCCCACCCCCTATCCACACAGGCTAGGCCCAGGTTGGGCCGGGGCTCACCGCCGACTCGCAGAGGGATGAGAGGCTCTTCGGGCCCCACATCCCCTACACCCCGGACCAGGGAGAGCAGTGAGCCGGAACCAGGACCCAGCTCTGCACCAGGGTGAGCACCCGGGTCCAGTCCCTCACCCCACCTCTCACTTCTGTCCCTTCATTCCCATTTCTGTGCACATTCAGGATCATTTTCTTCCTTCCCTAATCCCTCTGACCTCCAAAAGACTAAAGGTACTTTCATTAAGAATCTAGTCCCTGATTTTTTTCCCATCATGGCCTCAGTCTTCACTGCAAAGGACAAGAAAACAACTCCTTGTTAGGGGCTAAGGCCTAGGAGCCGCCGCATTTCAGCATCAGCCCAAGGTGCAGTGCTCAACCCACCTATCATTACCCATCTCCCCTCTCTCATGTCCAGCCCCTGTCAGAGTTCTCACAAGCCTGATTCCTCTCTCTTCTCTGTTGCAGGCTGCCTCATGCCGGGCCCCCACGGCCCCGCTCTGCCCCTGCCTTTTCTCCTATTTCCTGTAGTCTATCTGACTCCCAGTCCCGGATACGTTACAGCGGGGGGCCTTTGGGCCAGCCTGAGGTTTGTTTTGTCCCTAAATCACCCCCACTCACTGTTTCTCCCCGGGTCTGATGCCTCCACCTCCATGCCCAGGATATCGCCCCAAGATGGGGTACACAGTGAGAAATGTGCTAGCCTCCTCCCTCAGCTGTTGATTCCATGTGACAACCATAATTCCTATATGAACGGACAGTGAATACCAGCCACACTGTTCTGAGACATCCCAGAGCATCACCTTGAGACAGCACAAAGCAGAAACCTGCTACCCCATCCCTCCCTCCACAGCACAAGATTTTGGGACCACAAAAAATATATATCTATATTTTTATATTGGGGGGAGGGAGTAGAAAAAGCCCCTATACTGGGCCCTACTCAGTGGCAGCTTCTTGTTCCATAGGATTAAGGAAGACTTTGAGGAAATAAAAGTTGTTTGGAAAAATCCAGGTGTAGTTGCTTTGTATGTTGTGATGGGTAGAGGGATGAAGTGAAGTGTGAAGGCCCCTCACACCCTCCATCTTGCCTCAGCCTATGTCCTGGAACCCTAGAAAAAAGGGGGAAAGACCCGAGGTAAGGAAAATGCTGCAGCTTTCCTCTGGGGAAATCCTTCAGGCATCCACTCCCATCCATCCTGTTCCCCCTTTACATTTCTGACCAACACTTAAGGTTCCCCACCCTACCCCACCTTTCTTGTCTAGGGCTTGGGTCTGCAGGAGCCACCCTAACTCAGTGCCTCTTGCTCCAGAATTCTACATCTTTACACCCCCCCCCCCGCCTCCCCCTCCCCCCCAAATTCTGCCTAAATAAAAGCCTCAACAAGCTTGGAGAAGTGAGGACTCCTTAAGTCCCCCTTAAGTGAAGAGCCCAAATCCTCATACTTGGATGCCATCCTCAGTACCTTTACTCCTCTCTGTGTCAGTGTCTCCTAGTACCCAAAGGCCCAACTTGGGCATGGGGGTACCACGAAGACGGGGGCAGAGGAGTAGGAAAGTCACCCCCATTCTAGCAGGTAAAGGGCGGGGCACTGTAGGGCATTCCCTACTGTGTGCGGATAAAGGGGCTCAGTTCTGGACTGTATCATGCTTGGCCCGGCACTTTCTGATTTGAAGTTTCGAACCCTGCAGGCCCTGGCGCGGCCTCGCCACTCCACTCTCCGGGGGCTGGGCGCTGCAGCCCCGGACCGTTACCTGGGGCGGAGAAAGCGCCACTTTCATTCCTGCTTCTTGGGATTGTTGACGGCCACGTAGTGATAGAGAACCACAAGCAGAAAGAGCGACACGCCCAGCATGTTGGCGAAGATGGCGAGCTGCACGTCTGTGATCATCCTGCGGAGAAGAGGAGGGACTGGGCCTGGGGCTGGCGCATTCCTCGCCCAGGCCGGGACCCGTTCTCGCCCCCTGGACCAGCCACCGCCGAAGCGCCGCTGAGCGCGCTTACGCGCCTCTCACCTGACCAGCTGGGCTCAACGCGGTGTGGTCTGCGCACTAGCTCCAGGTAGGAGTTCCGGCCCGGAAGTTGGTAGCGCGAGCGCAAGCCCAAACCAGGCACTTCCGGCCGTGCTGCTCGGCCGGAACGGGCTCTCTAGCCCCGCCGTCTCGCCTGCTCCCCGAGGCGCCTCGCAGGGGCGGGGTCTCGGGCGGGGCTGCGGCCGGACTGCCCGCCGCAGGGGGTGGGCGAGCCGCGGGCGCGCGCCACAGGCGGGCGGAGCGCAGCTGGCCGCAGCTGGCGCAGCAGGGGACGCGGCAGAGCCGTGGCCGCCTCCCCGAAGCCCAGCGGCGGGCCGGGGCGAGGGTGCGGCGGCGTGGTAGGGTGAGAGGCTCGGCCTGACCCCTAGACTTCGACCCCGCTTCCTGCCTTGGCCCCCCGCGCTGCTGCCCACCCTCCGCTTCCCGGCTCGGCCCAGCCAGGTGCTTCCTTTGGGCCCTGCCCTCAGGGTCCCCTCCCTGGCCCCCGCGGCGGAGAGGGCGGTTAGAGGCGGTGCAGAATAGGGAGAGAGCTGGGGCGGCCGGAGGCTCCTCTCCTCGGCTCCCGCCTTTTTGCCCCACACCCGCCCAGGGGAACGATGCTGCCTGCGATCCGACCGGTGCCTCCCTTCCCCGGGCTCGCTCCCCCCACCCCACCCCCGGAGGTGGGCGTCGGAAATAGGGCGGACCCTCCCGGAATCAAAACCCAAACCGTGGGACTTGGGCCAAGTGGGAAATCACCCCCCGGATGTGAGGGAGGGAGAGTGGGAGGGAGGGCCAGGACAAGCAAGAGGGGTTGTGTGTTCTGAGCAGAGTGGATCACTGAGGAGAAAGCCGACTGTGGGTAGATGACTGAGGGTCTCTGGTGAGGGAGCGGCCCTGGAGCTCTACAGCGCTCTGCCCCAGCGAGAACCTACTCCCCACCCCCCCCCCCCCCCCAACCCCTCCTTGCCTTCCCTCCGCTTCACCATAAAAGGGAACGGCACCGAGCCAGGCTGGGGCCGGGGGCTGGGCTGTTACTCTGGAGCTGTCAGGGGTAATGGAAGCCAGTTGCTTTGCGGTAGAGGGGAGCCAGGGCTCAGGGGACGCCTCTGCTTCTCTGAGCCAAGGAAAACTACAGGAGCTGCTGTGGGACTGGACCAGCTGGGGCAGGGGACCGTCTTGCTGCCTGTGTGCACCATGAGCTAGGGGCTCACCAGCCCAGAGCTGGCTTCTGAGGCCTGGGACCATCAGCAGTGGGTCCTCCATGTGCTAGCCCAGTGGCTCCGAAGGTCAGTCCCTGCCTTGAGCAGTCAGTCTGTCATTCCCCCTGGCCTTCCCCATGCCACCCCCCAGCATTTCCCCGAAGTTTCCTATTTAGGATCCCAAGCCCATGTCCCGTCTACATAACCGTGAAACCCCAGGCGTGTACATCCTCGTGTCCCTCAGAGTGTCCCAGCCCTGCTCTGGGAGAATGGGGGTCTAGGTCTCAAAGGACTACACACATTATGCTCTGTGGCTCCTGGAAATTTGAACCAGATCCAAGTCCAGCCAGACACTTAGATCTACTGTTAAAACAGAACGAAACTCTGGAAAGTAGACTTTCTAGACTGCAAATGACATGAGGGAAGGCCTTGGAAGTATTTCAGATTAACAAGGGTGTCCTGAAACCAACTGACCTTAGGCTGACAGAGCTGAAAGGGGCCTTCAAGATCATTTTACAAAGAAGGAAACTGAGGCCCAGAAGTAATTGATTTGAGCAGGACTCTACAAATAGTTTGAAACCGTCACCTGATTCGCTTTCCTCTATTCCATACTCCGTGTCAGACTGTGGACTCGACAGGTTATCCTAGGGCCAGGGACAAGAGGAAAAGGTTTGTTTTAGAAACATCCAGAAATGTCCTTCACCTCTCAGAACTTGCCGTGCCTGGGTCAGCAAATCTTTATTGGCCTTGAATGGGTCATTTGGCCTAGTGCCTGGGGGAACTGAAATTAAAAAATGGTCCCCAGGACTAACCAGACTCGGCTAAGAACTAACAAAACTTGAAAAAAAGCTTGGGTGGAAATGTCTGTGGAAAGTGAAAGAGTCAAAGCCTCACCCTTGGGGGAACTGGAGGAGAGAGAGAATTGCTGCGAGGGGCATATGTGGACCTTAATCTCTGGAGTTAGTGTGACATTTTCAAGGAGAAGACAGGAGGGAAGGATTCGGCTAAGGAGTGAAAAGGCAGCAAGATCCCGGAAATGGGCCTGGGCCCTGAGTCCAGAGAGGCTGGCTCTTAAAGTATTATACCTGTGGGAAGGGTTGGGAAGAAAGGGAAAATGTGTACATTTGAGCAGGAGTGGACTTCTGCTCAAGAGTCCCCAAAAGCTTGAATTCCCATCCGGGTTTGCATAACCTAAGACCCAATTCATATCACTCTCATTTTTTCCCTCCCAATATCCAGTCCTCTGACAGAAGGCATTAGACATGAAATGCCCCTCGCTGCTGGTGCCCCCAGCTGTCCTGGCCTTGGTACATGAGCTCATTGCTCAGCCACTGATGCTCGACTGAATAATTCAGTTGTCCAGTATAGCGAGGATTTCCCATTGGCACTAGACCCTTGATAGTCCCCTATCCTGGAGAGGTTATAAAATAGATCTTGTCCTCGTGCTCCAAGGACTTAGAGCCATTTTTGGTCTCCGGAATTCTCTTGGCAGTTTCTTTGGACATTTGTGGCTACTCGTCAGTTACCACGGCCATCGGCAATGTATTTGCTCTAACCTTAGTCTCCATTGCTGCCTGCTGGCTCAACACCCCAAGCCTCCCCAGTGAACCCAGAGCCACTGATTTACTTGAAATATCACAAACGGTCTATGTCAGCCCCTAGGTCGGGGCTCCTAACTACAGGACTAAATGAAATGCAACCTACCACAATTGTATTTCAAAGCCAACCTTTTTGGCTTGACATACTTAATATACAACAGATTTTTAAATTTAAGGGGGACACCCATTTAAACTTAAGGAATGAAGGACAACCGGACAGTGACAAGACGGCTGGGATGACTTTTCAGATTGTCAGAAGCCCCCTGATGGGAGGGAGGGTGGCAAGAACAGAGAAAGAAAACCCACAGCAGCAGCCAGGGCAACCTGAAATGGGTTGGCTTCCTGCCAGGGCCAGGGCCCAGAACTGATGCAGAGACCAGGGACAATGCTACAACCTTCCACTGACAGCAACTTTCAAATCAATCCCTTGGGGCTCTTTCCTTCAAGTCTCCCTGTGTGCTGATCCCCACACTTCCGAGGGCAGCCACAAATTTCCATTTCTGTGGATTTCAGCATTCACTTTCATCATCCTGTCGTTTTACGAACATTTCTCCCAGCCATCAAGATCATATTCTGGGCCAAAGGACCTCAGGGGCAGATCACACAGAGTCACATAGAAGATTTGGTGGCATCCATTCTCATGATTTCCAACTATTGCCCTATAAATGGTTTCCTGAATCAAGACCCACATCTCTGACCATCTCCTGGACATTTATTACCATTGAACTACGTTATTCTCATCTTAAACTCAGTATGTCCAAACTAAGGTCATCTTCTTCCAAACCCGTTCCTCTTCTCAAGTTACCCATTTCTGGCTCAAACCCCGGAATCTTCTCTGATATCTCCTTTACTGTGGCCCCTTATTACCCAGGCAGTCACCAAGCAATCACAGCCTTCTCTTCCCAACCTGCATCATTTTGCAGTGTAGAATTTCGAAGGCACCATAGACAGTAGCCAACAGACCTCTAGCAGAGTCATGGGATTTGCTCAAAGGGATAACGATACTTAGAGGAGGAGCAGGAACCGGCATCCTTGTGCCTAAAACCCTGCCCATTGCTCCTGTCTTCCTTCTGCATGTATATTGAGCTCCTACTGAAAAACTTACAATGCAAGCTCCTAACCAGTCATCTGGGCCTCTCCCCAGGTTTTCCACAATCGACTTCTCTGACTTTCTGTCCCACTTCTTCCTGACACAAATAAGAGCTAACACTTACTGAGCGTGAACACGCGCCAGGCACTATTCTGAATGCTCTACGTGTATTAACTTAATCGTCACAAACCTAGGAAGGAGGGTACTGTTATTGCTGCCATGTGGAGCAATGAGACCACAAAGGCAGACCTCTTTCCCCAACCTGAAATCTCTCCCCTCCCCCTGGCTCTGGTCTTCACTTTTCCCCCCCCCCAACACTGTTCCGGCTCTCTCTTCCAAGGGCTCTACTCTGACTCCCCCGAGCGTCCAGCTGTCTTTCCCCTCCTCTTACCCAGAACACATCATCCATTTGTCTGGCTCCCTTGGCACGCTGTCTATCCTGCTTTGTGTTCATTTTCTGCTTCAGTGTCTGTGTCCCATTCCCCCGCGGCCCCAGTTACTCATTTCTGAGTCTTACATTCGCCTTTGCTACCTGGGCACCCGGGCACCTGGGCACCACCACAGTGCTGCACACAGCACTCCCATCTCCCTTCTGTCTGATACTTCTGCTTCGATCTTGCAAGCGAGCGCCCTACCACACAGGGACACCTGGTCCAGAGCGCAGTGCTGAGGCCAGATGGTGAGGGGGGGGCCAGCTGACGGATTCGGACATCTCAAGACGAGCTTTCCCGTCAGGCTGTTGAATGGGACTGAGCTCCTTGCCGGCTACAGAGGCTATCAGGCTTGCCTCTAGACTGGGGAGTGACTTCCTTTGGGCTCTGTAGATTTAGATAACTGCCCAGTTTGCCTCCTTCCTTCCCCTCCCCCACTTACGGCCTGGCCTTTACCAAGAAAGGCCTGGGATCCACATTCATTTGGTTTTTTGAGAATAAGTCTCCTCCTGCTCATGCCCTCTCCATGCTTGACAGAAGGCTGTGGCCTCATTTCCAGATTCCTTTCTTCCTCCTCTGGCTTCTCTGAATTTCCTGCCTGCCTCAGTGGTGTTCTTTTCCGTCTCCTCCCTGGCCCAGTAGCTCTCTCACCTATGCTACTTCTTCCTCCCAAGACACTGACCTAGGTATTTAAATTCTAATCACAGCCCCACTCTTGATGTGCTGTGTTACCTCGGACACGTTACTTTCCCACTCTGGGCCTCATTGTTCACATCTGTAAAAGCAGGCAGCTGGACAAGATGGTTGAGTGATGC